TATATATATATGATTTAAATCGGATTCTTTTTTTTAAAATTTACCATCTAAAGCATCTGATGAAAGATTTTAATAAACCTTAATATTGTTTAAGAAGAATATAACTTAAATAGTGTTATTTCTTACTAAAATGCAGTGAATTATGACTACATTATTACATACTAATCACTGAGTTAAAAAAAAAAATTATAGTTGTATTTTTCAATTCCCACATACCCTATTATCTTGTTCAAATTTTCAATCGTTCATCAAAATACTTTTTATTCATCCATTCATGTTCAAATACACTTTTTTTTAAACTTGTAGTGGATAAAAACTTAATGTTAATTAAGTTTTTTCAAATATTAATTCATTCATTAAATTTAATGCAATCATTTTAGTTTTATAGTGGGAGAATTTTTTTTAATTATTTAATAAAAAGAGTTAACTAAAATATAATTATTTGCTGACCTAAGTAGGAATTGACTTTAATTATTAATGTTACTTGTACAAGCTCAACTTACTGAAGACAATGTGTCAACCTAATGAAGAGTAAATTATATTTTTTTCAATCAATATTTTTTTAAGGGGTTACAGTACTCTTGCAACAATTTTTTTAAATAAAGGTATAATCATTCATTTTGAGGATCCTTTACATGCTTATTTAACTTATAATCGATCATTTATCTTCAAAAAACAATTAAACTGTTTAAATTTTTTAAAATTTTAAAAAAAGTTGAAAAAATTCAAAATTTTTAAATACCTAAGGCTTTTTTATTTTAACTTATTTTCAAAATTTTTTTTTCTTAGTGCTTACAATATTTAGCTCGGATAATCGAGGTCTTACTGTACCTTATAAAATGCTTATTCCATGCACAGTTTAAATAAGTGTATTATACTTAAGATAAAAAAGTTTACTTCAAAGCTTTATCTTAGATAGAAAAAATTCCTTAGGGATTTAATCAAGATCAAAACGCAAAATTATCATTTATGAGAAAAAGCCCTTTAAAGTTTGTCCGCAGAGCAAGATTCTGTATTAGGACAATCTAAAATCATTCATAACTTTTTCAAAAATGCAGATAGAGACATGATTTTTTTTCAGTGCATTTGAAATAGTTTGAAGTTTTATTATAAGCAATAAAAAAAAATTGGTATTTTTGTCACTTTTTGGGCACTGTGACCCCTTAAATTATTGATGTTTAAATTTTTGATGAAAAGTTACTTAAATTATTGAATTTTTTTAATCACTATTGATTGAAATCAATACATTTTTCATGAAATTGTGAAGGGATTAATATTGTAATTTCAATGTGTATGCCTTTTGTTATTTAGTAGTAAATAGCTCCCTTAAAAAACATGAAATCAGACTTTTTAAATAATGACACTTTTAAGAATGTATTTATTAACTATATTATATGAAAATATTTTAAACTTAAATTAATAATTTTTTTACTAAGTATGTTCATATTAAATGTTATGAAAATTATGTTTGCATAAGTTAATGTTTTTTTTTAGAAAAATCATAGCTGATTTAAATCAGTCGTTAAAAAATCAAATGATTTAAATCACGATTATATTCGAAACGCATTATTTTCTAGTTGTAAATCTGTTCCTGACGGCAATATCTCAAATTTAATCGCGACATTACTTGACATATTATATTTCGATCTATTTCTCGGCCAGGTAGAAGCTTATCGCCAAGAGAGTGCTTGATTTTCCTAAATTGCACCCCACACATGCCATTAGAAGAGGTAGGTAGGTATTTTACACAATTGGCTATTGGCGACGGTCTGGGAAAAATCCCAGAGGATGATCCGAAGACATACCATAACTGGTCAAATGACCGTTTAAGAACTTTTGCATCGAAAATGGGCTTTAACATCTTATCGTTTTAGCACATTTGACTTCATGGCTTTTTCTAACAATTATACACAGTTAATATTGTATTAATATTTTTCTATTTTATTTGTTTGGAATAATACTTGTTGTAGTCATTTGACCAGGAGAACTGCTTTATAAGAGGTTATCGGATCAGAAATCGAGTTAACATTCGTCAAGAGTTGCACATTTCTGCAAAGACTGTTGCGTTCAATCAAAATAACTGTAAATTCATATTTTAAGAAAGTAATTTTAGGTTGACATTTTTGTGTCAGAAAAAGTGACAAAAATTTTTTGGTCAGTAGCTTATATTTTATTTTGATGGCTTTTACTTCATTACCCAGAAAAATGTCGAAACAATCAAGACAGCACAAGTTCTTAGAAGAAATAATATTAATTATAATTCTTATAATTATGAGAATTATATATTCTTGTAATTATAGAAGTAATAATAATTAGAAGAAATATGTTTGCTGAAAATGTACAATGTAAACACCCTGTACATGTAAAAAATGCGTTGAGCAATGAGTTAAAAATTCTTAGTGTTTGTAATACATAAAAATGGGCAATATACAATTTTTTTTAATTATAATAAAGTTTTTTCAGTTTATTTCCTTTCTAACATCCATATCTCATACATTCAATCAAGAAGCATAAAGTCCGTTCATTTGACCGGCTATGGTAGAAATAGATTAAGTGTTGGTATGTTTAGTGTTAATCCTCTGCAGAGGGGATGACTCCTCTGCTTTGGTAGCCCGACAACCTGCACGCGAAGTCGAGCACTTTACGGTGGAACGGTTTAACGAGGACCGATTCCGCGCCCCTACGTAGGTTGATCAAAATGGTCACCCACCGGCTCACTGACCTGAGCCAGTGATGCTTGTCTTCGGTGTTCTACTGGGAACCGTGTCTTTGCGATCGCTGCGGAACCTCACCCACCTAAAGAAATGGTCTTAAAAAAACAATTTAATTTTATTTAAACCGAACTTCTTTTTCTAAATCATACCCAAAAAAAACATTATTAGACAAACAACATATATTGATGTCTTACAGGGTGCGTAGCGTTTTTAAAAAGTGTTTAAAGTTGCTTATTTTAGATTTTCGTTTTTCAAAAGCCCTCAAAGGTGCTTTTTTCATTGGATGTTTTTAAAAAAGTGCTTGATATTCCCTCTTTCAAAAGGAAATTTTTTCTTTTGCATGTTGATTTTCGCTCTTAATTATGCAAAAACACTGTTCACATTATTCTATTCAACGTTTTCACATTTCACTCAACCCCAATCTATTTCGGCGTATCGTCAGTCCGTAGCGTATGAAAACGCCATTCGTTTTGCATGATTTTGACAATTGTCAAAAAAAATACCAAAAGGTTTTTTTTTTTTTTTGACATGACGGTTAAAACAAGATAAAACCGTCAATTGTCAGAAACTTTCCAACCCTGCCAAATTATGATATTTTATTAAAGTGCTTAAAAATATTCTTTGAGCGCTTGAAAAGTGCTTATTTTTTGTTGAAAAATTTGACTACTCACCCTGTATTACTTTACTGGAGAAGTTATGGAAAGTTGATTTCATTATTCATTATTTCAGAATGCTGAAAATTGTTTAGTGTTTGTATATGGGACACTGAAAGTGGATGAACCAAATTATGACCAAATGATTGATCCTTCCTTAGGAAGAGCCACTTATGTGAGTAAAGGAAGAACACTGCAAAAATGGCCCCTCGTCATAGCCTCTAGGTTCAACATCCCTTTTCTTTTGTACAGAGAAGGTGTTGGAAAAGTGAGCATTTCATATTAGTTGAAACTTTTTTGACACAAGTGAGAGCTTTTATATAGTTTGTTTATGTAAATAACTCCCCTAGCCACCAGGGTTTGTTAAATCGTGATTTAAATTAAAGGATTTAAAAAAAATCATTGATTTAAATCAACCGATTTTTTTAATATATATATATATATATATATAGGGAGAGTCAGAGAGAGAGAGTATATATGTATTCATGTATATATATATATATACATAACACCTACGTCTGCTGAAACTAAATCCTTTTAAAACTATTTTACTATNCCTTGTTCGTCACTATACATATATATATATATATATATATATATATAACAATATATAATATATATATAATAATAAAAAACAGTGTTTTAAACTATTGATATTTTTATCATTTTCTTAGTTTTAAAATTTTTTTTTAAATAAATTGCTGCATTAATGAATTTTGGTGAACGAAATTACTTTCTTTCGGTGTGTGTTAAATTCCAACACATTTGAAATTACATTTTTAAAAATCCTTTGATTCTTGAGATTGAAGGTACATATTAAAGTAAACATTTAATGTTGTCTTAATATAGACTTATATAGCTGTAGAAAGTATTTAAAAAAAAATGCAAATAATGTTAATTAAAATTCTGCCTTTTAATTGAAAAAGCATGGAATTAAAATCTACATTATATCTTATTGAAAATGTATATTTCTGAAGCTTGAGGTTATATTAAAAAGAAATTACCCTAATATGCCGAAAATAGAAAAAAAAGGCTGATGAATTCAAATATTTTTTTCCTGATATCGTGTTATTCTTCCCTTTCAAAGTCTATTTGAAGCAGTAGGGATACTAACTGGTATTTTTTTCTCATAGTATGTTTACAGTATCTTCGACATTATCAGATTTTCTATAAAAAAAAATTTGTGAAAGAGAATTACATGAGTACATAAATTTTTAAAAAAATTTTTTTAGCTTAACTTATCTATTTTGATCTAGGATTAAGAATGAATGTTTTAATATAAAAATATATCGATTATATATTTATTTAACTTTTGATGAATGACTGCATTTATAAACAATATCTGTTACATTTATTTTGTCACTTTAAAAATCAGAGGGAAAAAAAAGAAATCACAATTTTAAATTAAAATTATGGTTTGCTAATTGAAAATTTGTTTAGGGGTCTGTCCAGGCCAAATTTACTATCTTTTGTCGGTAGTTTAAACAAATTCAACTTTAAGAAAAACAGTAGAATAATTTCACAAAATACTTTTTCTTAAAATTTATTTTTGTGTCTCGTAAGAAACGATAAATCCCTATTTTTGCGTTCATATTTTAATATAATTTTTACAAATTATTTCTAAATTTTCACAAAATATTTACCCCTCAGAAAAACCCAAACAGACACCTGAAGTATTCTTTAAATTCTTTATTCCATCTAGTCTTTAAATTTCAATCATGCATTTGTTTCAAAATGATTGCTACGCATACAAAGCTATGTATTGTAATGAAAAATTATTTTAGAAAGTTAGGGCTTCTGAAATATTATTATAATACAGTTTTAATATTAATTTAATTTTGATTAAGCGTTTATAAAGTTTTTTTAATCATAAATCAAAGTTCTTTCGGTGTATTTGAATAAAAAAAAATAACGAACCCTGCAAATAATTAATTAAAGTTCATTGAAGGTCTCGAGAGAAAAGAAGCTTTTTAAGTACTTTCCCTCTCTTTTTTTTATTTTTTTATTCATATTGTCTAATTTGTCTTCCTTTAATGCGGAGTATATTAAAATATAATGTCTGGTGATGATAGGTTAATTTTGAGGGGAGCGAAATTTGTATTTCTCCATTTTAGGGCTTTAAAACGCACTTAAATCAAAATAAAAAGTCTTATTTTCAAGTAAAGGAATACTTTATTTACGTTACGAAATGGCTTTTTTAAGTAATGTCCCACTCTTTTTCAATGGAAATAGAGTGTGACATTTAGGACTCCTTAATTTCTCTATAATTATTAATATTGGTATGGTTGTATAGTATATTATGATAGGTTATAATAAAGTTTTAGGTTAATACTAAAAGGAAGATTCAGGACCATTTATACATACAGTATATGTTCTCTTATTTAATGCTTTATAAAGTGCACTTAGAAAAGGAACAAAAAAGTTTTATTATTAGGTAAAATAATACTTTATTTACATAACAAGATAGCTTTTTAAGTAATTTCACGTGTTTTTGCAATGAAACCATTGTGTCTTTGTTTATAATTACCTATATACTTCGGTAGGGTAATGATACCTTATGTAACGAAAACATCAGTATCTAAGACAAAGTTTGGGTTAAACCCTATACATTTTTCATTATCGAAGTTAAATCTGTAAAATATATAAGGTGTAGAATGAGAGTAGAGAGCACAAAGAAAACGAACAAATGCATTGTTTAAAGCATCAATTATTGTTGGAGGAATCCGAGAGGAGTAGAAACTTTCAGTTTTTACTTAAATACTGCTTAACACTAATAAATAGCACTGGTTTTAGCCTTTTCAGTCCAACTAATTATGATTTCTTATATTTCGTTTGCGGCTTCATCTAAAAATCTATGCCCCCTAAACATTCTTAACTTCATTTTTGATAATATTATAAATTCTAAGGGATTATTATGAGACATTCTGAATATTAATATAATGTAAAAAATAAAATAGCCATAAATCGTGTCAATTAATATTGAATATGCACAATGTATTTATGCATTATATTTATTATACATGTTTCCTACATACACAAAATCCAATTGTATTTTTGCCATTTTTTAATCACACTTTTAAGATAAAAATAATATTACAAAAGTAATTAAATTCTATCCAAAATAGTTTGAAGAATTATATCTTAGTAAATAAGTCAAATTCACAGTCTAACTTAACTTTAAAAACTTTAAAGCGATAACATTAAGTGGTCAAGAAAAGTATAGCTTACAAAATTTTCACAATTTATAGGACGCGATTTCGCAAAATTCATTCACTTGAAAGAAATTTAAAGTTTCTATTTACAACATTTCCATCAATCTAGGAAAATATTTCCTCATATCCAGAGAGATCCACTTTCATAATTATATTTCTCAATTTGCTTTAATACGGTGCGTAGCAATTTTAAAAAGTGCTTAAAGGTGCTTATTATCGATTTTCGTTATTTAAAAGCTCTTGAAGGTGTTTTTTTCATTTGGTATTTTAAAAGAGTGCTTAAATTTCTCTTTTCGAAAATGAGATTTTTTTTCTTTACCATGTCGAGTTTTGCTACACGCTATGCAAAAGCATGCTTTTAACATTTTTCTATTTAACGTTTTCACAATTCATTAAACTACAATCTATTTCGGCGTAGCGTATGAAAGCGCAAATCGTTTTAGATGTTCTTTGATAAATACTTGCTAGTCCGTTTGTGCATATGTACTGAGCTGGGTTCGGTGAGATTATTGCGCTCTCGTGTGCAACTCTGCTGCATTTTGCAAGATATTCTCAATTTCAGGCTTCATTTTCCACCTTCTGATATCGAACCGAAAAACCTCTTAATCAATTTACTATGGCTAATATAATCAAGAAAAATAGTTTCTAGTTACTTTATCATAATCATGTAAAGTCTTTGAAAATTATTTTGCATTTTGTTAATGCAAATAGTGCTTAAAAATAAATTTTGAGTGCTTAAAGTGCTTATTTTTTGTTGAAAGATATGGCTACGCACCCTGTTAAAAAAAAAACATTGCCGTTAGTCTCTGGGTTTGACCGCTTTTCGTTGAGGGTTAAAATACCTTAAAACTGTCTTAAGAGGAATATTACTACTAAAATTATCGCACACCAGAGACGGGATTATATAGTTTTACATATACAAATATGTTTCATTTCATAAAAACTAGAAAACTCATTCGATCCTACTCGTAGAATAAACTTTCAGAAAATTGCATTTTATTTAATTCTGTACTCGCAAACTTTCAAAGAATAGGTTTATTTCTATTTAATTCAAGGCTCGAACATTTTCACAGAAGTGAATACTTAATCATACAGAACGCAGAATGAGTTGTGTGAATTTAAAATCTTGCCCAATAGCATTTTCCGGATTCCAGACGTACGACAACGCTGTAATTTCTTTTTTTTATTTGATTTGTTTCAATTTAAAAGTTTCCTGCTAAAAATTAATTGATAATAATGGAATAGGAATCTTCTTTATGAGAAAATAAAAAGTTTAAACAACCCCATGTCTAAGCAATGCATAGTTGAATAACATTGAAACTTTTACTGTAAAAATATTTTAACCCTACACAACTTATCCCTAATTAAATATTCGACTAGATCTACAAAATAAAAACATTTATTTCTTCTCTTATATAAAAATATCAATGTAGCTTAAGAGAAATGCACTTAAATTTGTTCAAGTAAGGTTAAGTGCTAAAATTTAACGCTTGCTCTCTGAAAATATTAAAATACAGTAACGTCTAGCATACACATTGTACTCAAAAGACAATAAATCAGAATAGTTAAAGAAGTAATTTCTTGGTGATAAATACCAAAAACAACATCACGCTTTAATAATCAATTTTATTTAATTCTAAGTTCATAAGAAATACAGAAATTTCTGGGTATAAACTAAATATACAATGTCACTTAATGCTGTAACTTAAAAATACGACATCCTTTTAGTCTTACAATAAAAAACTGGATGCAAAATTTGCCAACTGCAATTTTGGAAAAGAAACTAAGTATGAAACTTTTTCACAAATTCAATATTAACTTTCTCTCCTAATATTATTAAAGAAAAATTTTCTAACTTTTTTTTTGTTTTAATCCTTATTTTAACTTAATAGCAGTTGACAGATTTCGTATCAGAGCCTACTTCCTGATGAAATATTAACAACTTTGTTCTAGTACAGCCATCTGTAAAGTTACACAAAAAATTACAACAACTCTACTTAAAAAGGAAAACTTAAACTATATGAACAATACTAATTAAGCATTCACAGAAAATGCT